GAGCCCCAAAGAAGACTGAAATACCACACTGAAGGCAAAACAAGCCACTAGTACAATTAAGAAATGGCAAAATAAACAATTTGCCTCTTTTTTTCCTTAATGTGATTTCTAGAGGTGAAATAAATGTGATTACTTCTCGTACATCTGAAAATAACGTAACATTTAGTTGTGGATAAAAAATGAATGCTTGGAGAAAAATTACTTCCATTCAATCACCACAGGTGTGGATTTAACTGGTCTTAATATCAACCACATGGAACGCACTCTGTAACAAATGCATCCAACACAAAATAAAAAGCTAACTTCAGTTCTAAAAGAACCTCCTGTATTTTTGCCCAGCCTAATGATTCAGCATACTGAAAATTTGATAAGTATACAACATTACATACTGAGAGGCTACCAATGTAATAGCAGATCATATCAGGTATTGTATGCTTGACTGGATAATGAAACACATCATGCCATAAACAGAGTCAATCAACAGCAAAAAAAAAAAAAGACAACTTGTATATGTGTTGGGAACCTGGAAAACAATGTTGATAAAAATTTGATATCCATTTTTTGTTGAAGTTGAATTTTAATGGAACAAAAGCTCTCAGAATATTGATGTTCTAAGCTCTGTGTCCCGACAGTTATACAAAGACCCTCTAAATCCAAGCAGCACAATTAGGGCTAATTTCCAATGAAAGTGTCAACCTACGTAGATCAATCCAACTCTGTGAGGACTTTTGCTGAATGCAATAAGTTTAACAGGTAAGCACTCCCCCTGTTGTTTCCAACATTCTGGTATTATCACCAGCTTTTCTGTATTCTACTCAATACCAGGAGGCGTCTTAATCTGTTAACCTGATTGTATGATCCAGTGAGGGTCTGGCTGCAGAGTTGGATCAGAATTAGTTTCATTGTGAGTGAGCCCTAGGCCAAGCTCAACCACTTTTGTTCCTCATAATTGGTATTGAATTCGTGATTGTATGTATTAATTATTCAGTAATAATAGTTTGAATCAATAAATGTTTTGTTAACTGATATCTCACACCTTGATGTCTTATGTCTATTGTATTCTGGCAGTGTTCTCATGTGAGTTCTAATCAGCAAACTAATCAAGAACTCCGCTGGGGACCGACAGATTTATAATAAGATATTCATTGCTGACAGATTACCACTGAAAACAACATAGCAGAAAAGAGCATTACTGATTACATTATCATTGGTAGCACTTATCTCTCTCTCTGCAGAGGGCAGGCCAAATTACCAGAACTTCTCTACAGAAACCAGCAGTCAGACTCACGCACCTGAGGAAGAGATGTGAAATTTCACACCTGTCCTTTTTCCTTGAGAGCTAGTCTTAGCATGAAAGTATACAGAGGAATCAATCAATAGAGGCAAGTATACTTGAACAAATTTGATTCAATTTTATTATAATTTGATGCCAGGGCAGATATGAAATTGTGCAATAGGGCAACTTTATTTCAGTAAACAGTGAGCTCTCAGAATTTTTATTTCTGGACAAAGTATTGACCTTAAAGAGTAGTTAAATCACCAAGGAGAAGGTAAGCCCATTTGCCACTTTTGTTGATATATCTGTTTAATATTTATTTATTGTACTACATGTACAAGCAAGTTCTTATGAATTGATAATTTTAACCAGCAAGTTTCTCTTTGATGTCAACTAAAATCCACTTTAAATGCACATTTCATTTAATTGTGGAATCTCTAAACGTGACAGCTGAAGTAGTTGAAGATTCACTTGTTACATATACAGGGTAAAAGCAGTAAAAACATCTTGTCACATTTTTCCTCAATTGATCTCCAACTTAATTTCATTGTTCTTTATTCATATTGTTCAATGTTTTTCTACATCTGTTGCTATTTTGCTGGTTTCTGTGTCTCTGCCCAGATCTGTCACTAATATTTGTATATTTATCCCAAACACTAGAAAGCCCTAAGGTGGTATCACTATCAAATGCTGAAAAACATTGATATTTTAAAGCTTTTATATCCACAATTTGACTTTGGTTGTCCAGTGATCTTACACAGAGATTAAACTGCCAGGACAAACTTATCATCAAAGTTGGAAACTATAACTCCCATCAAATTGTACTTCCTTCATGCAGTGTGTAGTTTACATGACATGTGCACACAATGCCAGCAATAATATTTTAATACTAATGTTAAATATTGATACTTAATTGTTTTTACAATTTTTAGATTTCTGCAAAATAAAAAGTTTTTTAGGTTGAATAATTTATCCTCAACCAGCCCTGTTTGAAATAGCTAAATGCATGAAACTGACAAAATTAAATATATCAAAAAATGTCACACCAATCTCGATGTGTCACAGTATCTGGAGTGAGCTGTAGAAAGCTCTGGGTAGCACATACAGGGTAAAAGCAGTAAAAACATCTTGTCACATTTCTCCTCAATTGATCTACAACTTAATTTCCTGTGTTCTTTAATTCATTATTGTTCAATGTTCTTGTACGGCTGTGCACAGTCATATAATCATTCATGTGTTTATTCCACATAATGTAGACTATTGGGTTTTTTTTTTCTTGAGTAATCACAATGTTGTAAAAATGTATTGCAGTCCTGGTTTTGTTCTGCATGTTTTTTCCTTTAAATGAGAAGCTGGGAGGTACTCTAGTAGGGCAAACCCCCATGCCCCCCCCCCCCCCCCCCCCCCCCCCCCCCCCCCCATCATCCATCAGTAGCTTTTTGACCTGACAGATGGGTACAACTAAAATACAGATCTATGCTTTATGATGTTGAACTACACAAAATAGAGAAAAAATGGTTATAGTTTACATTCTATAAAAGTCTCTGCCAATTACATAATATATCAGTAAAAGTACATGTGCAATCAACTTTGTATACCACAGCAGGATAATTTAAAAGGTCAAGTTGATACTGACCTTCACAACTGGACATGAGGGGCCTGGCTACTTTTGCAATCCTAGGTTATTCTCAGATTTCTAGGCTGAATGCATAGACATACATAAATGCCAATTCCCAACAATATTCTATTTATATGGAGATCTCATGACGGGAGCATGTCTGACATTCAATTATCAATCATTAATATTCATATCGCATATGTTACATGTAGCTGTCTTTGAACATAGATATTTGGTTCTCATTTTTCATTTAAAAGAAAAACCATGCAGAACAAAACCAGGGATGCAAAACTTTTTTACAACATTGTGACTGCCCCCCTAAAAAATAATAAATAAAATAATAAAATTCCACAATGATATCAAAAGTTTGGATCCACTGGGGCCATAAATAACAGTTTTGGCACTGTGTCTCCCCAATATGCATTATTATTTATTATACCAAATCCCCCCCCCCTACATCCACATACAAGTAAGGAAATTCATTAGCTAAAATTTTGATAAACTATCAGTAACTTACCCCAATAAGACCATGTCCTGTAATTTTGAAGAATTCATTTATCCATAACTGATTACAATAACTTCCTGGCCATGGCAGTTAACAACTGAGTTGATCAATCATTTAGATGGCTATTTTGATTACACCTAGTCAATTAGTTAAGGTGGAGCCATGAAGTCTCATCAGAGTTTGGCAAAATTAAAAACAACTTTAACTGCCCAAATATCAATCATCCTATATATTGTTTTTGACAGTGATGTCTTTAATGAATTTTCAACTATGTAGAATAGAGGTAATGTAATCTGTACAGGTTTTGAGAAAGTCACAGAAGCCAGACAAGGCCCACTTAATGCTATGGGTCATGACTTCAAATTTCAGCTAGTGTTAAGACTAGAAATTTTCATTGATTTATTAGTTATTAATATGTACAACCAGTTCCAAATAAGGGCTTAATTTAAATAAAAGCAAAATCCACTCATGAATGTACATAAGTTGTCCTTAGACAGCATGCAGTGTGAATACAAGTTGATTGAATCTCTTGATTTGCAAAAACAACTGACAATGAATATATACTGCCCTTGAAGGGTGCTATAACCTTTGACGGGGGGGGGGGGGGGTATTTAACACAGATTACATATTCCACGGCAGATCCCAAATTAAATTTTGTTCACACAATTAGCAGAGCTGCTGCTGAGTCAAGTCAAATGTCGTCTATCAAGTCTGAGCTAGGAATTAGACAACTGCATGGATATCACAAGGAACGCATGTTGCAGCATGGTTTTCTTTCAAACAAACAGGCCAAAGTTACATGGTGAATTGGTGTACATGTTTTGAAGGAGCAATAAATACCCAAAACTTTCAAATTTAAAGTGAACAAGCAGATATATACACTTACAAGTACAGTGGGTTATTTTGATTTTGAGTATTTGAGTATATGGGACAATATACAAAAAAATTGATGTGGTCCCTAGAATATATCTGAAATTTACTTTAAATACTAAAATATCCCACTGAAGATGCCTCCAGCAATCTTTATAATGTAAGAAGTCTGTTTTTTACATGGTGACTACCACTGACCTCAACTGTTTAATGAAAAGTGTCCTGAAAAAATGTATGGTATTGAAGTAAGGGATCAGGTCAGACTGGTGGACCTTTAAGAATATTAACCTTGACTAGAACTTGGAACCCAAGGACCCATTGTTTCATGGTCCCCAGCCTGGAATAACCTGGCCCCAGTATGGTGATTTATGCTAATGTCTGAAACAATTCAACAAAAAAAGAATATTTCAAAAATGTACACATTACCAATATTTTATCAACTGTCACTGATTTTCCCAGATAACTTTGTTATCAGGATCCTTTTGATGGAGGAATCTGGACAAAAAATAGATATAATGCTCCTTAAAGTTAAGTACTTATAGACACTTCTTTGCTTTTGAGGTAAAAAAAGAGAAGCCCATCAATAAAATGCATTAACTGGCTGCCATCGTCTCCCTTAAAACAAAAATTTGCAGGAAAGAAATAAACATCTTTAGATGTTCTTAGTTCAAAGCATTTTACTTTTATCCCTCAGAAGCCGTCCTGCACAGCATTAAAATTTTTACACCAACCTTTGATCATGCAGCCGTATCCTCTGTAGCCATTTGCACACTTCTTCAACCCCGTCCTTGGGTCGCAGGTGTAACGTTCTTCTCCTTCTTGTATGCGACAGTAAACATCACAGTTGTCCCCATAGTAATATGTTCCACACAGCACTGCCAGGTGGACACGTAGACACACCTGGACAGAGGGAGAGTGTTTAGAAGAGCACACCATATGAGTGGAGGACCCCAGGAGACGTGGCAGTGTCATGTTGTATGCTACAGGATCAGTTTCTGATGAAAATGCCAAATAAAGAGGTTCCTGAAATAAAAAAAATAGTTAAACTAAAATTTTGAAATAACTCATTATTTTTTATTTTATATTAAAATACCAATTAATTGCCAAGAAAAAGACTGCAATCTGAAAAATGTTCTTTATATAGATATGATGTAAGAGGAGCTTTCCTTAAAGATAGCTATGTGATGAAGGTATTAAATATGTCCTGTAACGAATATAATTTACTGGTACCCATTTTTTACACCGTGCAAATAAAATCTGCAAGCCAAAAAACAACCAAAATTAATCTCTCGGGCAACAGAAATAAAAAGTTTTAAACTGCACCATGCAGTGAAGAAGTTAGAAAATACTTGTTCAATGTAATATTTCGTTAAGTTATGCCGTTTGTAACTCCAGTATATGTTAATATCTGGGAAAGTTTAGAAGCAAAAATTTGACATTATTTAGTACTTGCTAACTGAGCTGGCATCTTCAAATGGTACCCAGTACTTCAAACATTAAACCAATTTGTCTTATTTCAGTTTCAGTTTCATTTGATACCTACCAAGAATTAAATAAACAAGCCAGGATATGATTCAGTATTAAAGATGGAATTATATTACCAAGGAAACAAAGTGTCACATTCTAACAAAATCAATTCCACATGCTGACTTATAAAGCTTAAAACTTGTATCTGTAAGGCTGAGCATACTCAAACTAATGTAGTTACATGTATATAAAGAACAGAATCTTAATATGTCAGTCCACTGGTATGTCGGATGCCTCCCCCCCCCCCCCCCAAAAAAAAAAAAAAAAAAAAGCCTGTACTGGTATACTTTGAGAGCCGCTCATTAGCCTGCCTATTACATAAAAAGAGTCACCTCAGTTAATCAACTAAACAGCAGGGATGAAGCTTGCGAGGAACTTGTCAAAAGGAGTAATACATTGTACAACAGCTAGTGTAATAAGAAATAATAGGTTAGCCAGGACTTCTCAAAGTGTTTGGTACAGATTTTACCATAACAGCATACTGCTGTGAAAGGGTCTTAAATTTTGTATTATTATTATTATACAAAATATTGCTTTTACCACTGTGCAATTCATGATTGTTTTACCTGTGTAAAATGAAGTCACTGTGTAAAGAAAATGTTTTTCTGCAATACCCCCAGGCCAGGTAGTAATATATTTAGTTGTTTTATAAAAACCTACACTCTAATATCCAGGATATAGGACAATAAACAGGTGTGTGACTAGGGTGTGTGGGAAGGGGGGGGCAATGTTTTTTGTCTTACTGAAGTAAGTAAACATATCCTCATTTTTAATTCATCTTGAATGCAGATCAATGTCCATTAATTCTTGACCACTTCTGGGCATGAACTTTTACTATGTAACATGAAGCTTTGTCATCATTCATATTCTACTGGGTGCAACAGTCATATGTTATACAGAGGAAACCCAATGCTAATCTTTATAATAATAATAATATCCAATGGTCAAACCCTCTTAAGACTGAGCAAATACAATTTGGAAGGTGGGGTGCATAAATATAAATATGACTCCTAACTACAAATATCTTAGTCTGCGTTCCTTGGTCTACAAACATTGCCGAGTATTCATAAGAAACCACTTGCTCCACGTTCAACAGAAGATGTACAGGTAAATGCCAGAAATGTTATTTTACTTAATTTTTGCTCCTGTATCTGTTAAGAGGTTAAAAGTTATTTTATTTGACAACTGTTTGCTGCCTTTAGATCAACACACCTGTCTTCCAGTTCAGGTAGCTTTAATGTGTTTTCATGTTTACTTTAAAATTTTGTACAGTTGGTGAAATGGTTGCACCATGGTTTACTAAAAATCCTCCTTTGAGTTCAATCCAAGAAAAAAGAACAGATTTTTTTACAACATGAACTAGCCCATATGATAGAACTTGCAAACTGCTCTAATAATAGCATGAAAAGAGGCTGTAATTGGGGTAGATTACAACTAAATTGATGTTCTTATTGTAAATACCACTTACATGTACCACAGCAGTCCCTCACAAATTATAAAAAAAGACAACAGTATACCTTGTTCCCACATTCTACCTTTTCTTCAACATGCATGGATCACACACAAACATTTACACTCTGTCTTCACCCCAGCTTATTTTTAAAACTTTTAAAAATATTTTTAAGGTCTTCAGTTATCATTATAATGTAAGCAAATCATAGAACAATTTTTGGATAATAATGATAAACATATTTTTCATAATTATCCAATAATTATCATAACTTTTGGCTAATTAAGATAAATATGTTTGAAGTATATGTTATAGAGTGAGGAACGACAATAAATCATCCACATGTAGCAGAACTCATGAAGATTATACCTTCCAATGTGTAAAGTCCAGTTTGCACTTCTCCATATTCTTAATAATGACATCCTGGTCGTCTGCCGCAGGGACTGTATTCATGTGAAGATGACAGGAATCAAGAACCCTAAGGTTTCCCCCAGACTTCAAAGCAACCTGCCATGGACGCAGTTCTTTGAGCTCTGACAGGGAGACAGCAGTAGGGGAGACAGCAGTAGGCGTGACAGACAGGATTTCTACAAAACCTAACCCAGCAACTGAGGCAGGCTAGAAGATAAAGAGTTGTAACAGAAAGTTATTAAATGACAAAAATAAAAAATCTTCCATGGCTGGTGCTTGTCACAATACCGAGTTTCACAGTTGCTAGAAATGGCTGATGGTCCCAGATACAGAGGTGCTTACAGCTCTGGACACTACCACTGACTTCAGTATCTCATACAAACAATATTACATTCCAATGTGTTGGGGTAGAAATATAACTGCAGATATTCACTGTAAACAAATACACACACACACAACAACAACAACAACAACCCTGCTACATATACATATAGCTGTAACAGAGGTACCTGATACAGCCTGTTCTCACTGCCAGGCAATATTAACTTGTTTACTTGGATGAAAACTGAAAAAAAATACATATTATCAAATATAAAAAATGATAAATTTCAATGCAACATTTTCTACTAGTATAACTAAGAGCCGATTTCACAATGAAAAACTGTTGGGAATACTGCTACATTTGAGTCTACTAAATAAAAATGATTTTCCTGAAAATGAAAATTATGAGAAATTCAACTTCACCCATATTTACAAGCTTGTATTTATGATTTAATAATTTTGAACTTTAACTAAATCAAATTTATAGAGACTCTTTGATATTTTTTAAATAAGATTTGTTCTCAATTTCTCCACAGTCCAAACTATGAGGAAGGACCTCCAGGGCACAAGTTAACTAAGCGTTTACTCTTAAAACCAGATGTTTGGCTTAATAAATTAAAACCAGGATTGTGGCCCCATTTAAAGTACAAATCTTCTGTGTGTTTGTCCCATAATTTTCAAATGGTCCAATGTATATTATCCAGTCCACGTGTTATTGTATCCTGAAGTGAAGTCACATGAGGGTTGTTATTTTCAAACGGACATTCTCCGTCAATGTTCTCAGAGCAATTCCTGGTGCTTGATGTAAAACAGGGAGAACAAGAAATTGTTTTCTTACAGATGTTTACCAAAATAACAGGTTAGTTAGCATGATTCATCACTTTTAAAGGAAAAAATTCTGGAATGGTTATAAGTAACAACAGAGCTATGTGAAAAATACCACAAGAAGTATGATAAGCCATTTGAAAAATAATCCAGTCATGCTGATTTTCCAAACATGACTAGCATTTTCATCAATTAAAACCTCCCAATGAATATCAAGTAAAAAGATAAAATAATTGGCATTTACATGTATCAAACAGGACTGGTATGGGTCAAACTGTTCCAGTGATAGTGAATATGTACCACATCTACATATAAATCTCAGTGCCAGGTTAAGGGTGGATCAGGAGGTCCTGGCCTCCCCCCCCCCCCCCCTCCTTTGATTTCTGAAAAAGATCACACCAATGGTCCCCTCTTGAAATTAGAATTATGTCAAACTGCATCATAGTTCTAAACTGTTCCAAATGGTACCGTTTGCCTTCTCAAATACCAAAATATTTTGGGGCCCACTGAAGGGGGGGGGGGGTGCTTCTCACAATAGGATGACTGCACTTGTATTTTGTTATGGTGCTTGGAATACACCAAAACATATTAAAATACAGACAAGCATGACAGCGAAATACCAAAGTGTTCAAAGCGAGGCTGTGGGCTAATGATGACATAGGCTGTCACACACCAGACATACCCTCTTAATTCACACCGAGTGGAATACCAGGGGCAGATTTAGAATTCAGTGTAACTCTGTTATGTAATAACCAAGCCATTATGTTGACAAATTAAAATAAGTAATGTGGTGCACTGACTGTCAAAGAAGTGACAAAAATAATTATGAATAAAGAAAAATATGTTAGTGAAGAAAAATACTGTAGAATAATCCTATTATAGTAACCTACATGTATTATTATAACACAACAAAACCAACTTGAATGCTCTGGTCAAACTGATTACATCACACATTCAAATCCAAATGTTTTTTTTTTTCTTTTTTATTTATTTATTTATTTATTTTTATTTATTTTTTTTTAGTTAGATTTCAAAGTTTCATAGCCATACCTTAAATTATCAGATATATACATACTTAACAACTAGTAAGGATATTAATCATATCTTTTGAAAACAAAATCGAAATTAAACCACTGATTTCATTTTCTGCAGTAAATACCAAATGAAGCACAAATATTTGTGTCTGAAATTGCTGACTAATCAAAACAAAAATATAAAACTTTCCCTGTGAAACCCTTACCTCACTTGCATTAAAGAAGATGTCCTTAATGTATATTTTTATTACAATATTGATAAAAAACAAAAAATAGAGATGTACCTACCAATGTTAGCAAAATAATGCCAAAGACTAAGTTTCTGCAGCAAGCTCTGTCCCCCATGATACACCAGGTTGAAATGATCAAAACTGTCAAGACAAACAATAGGACCTCAAGTGACAGTCCATCATGTGATTTTCACTTGAATTAATTTAATTAAGGGACCGTATCACCAGTTTTGTACAGAGTTCCGTTAACTAAATACTCCTTTCAAAGGGTTAGGTGTCAATAATACACTAGTAGATGGAAATACTGCATTGTTTCAGTATCTTGATAGTTCATGTACTACATGGTAGCATTTCTACCTAAAACAAGACTCCTATGTTAACACTTGTGTTACAGAAAGTTTAATTACAGAGAGAGGGGGTGTTGACTCACTAAGAGGTAACTACTAAAGAATGAAGTGTAAACATACTGAGAGAACACGCCTCCCTACAATTTTGAGATGGCCCCTCTCCCAGGATGTACTGTTATCCAGAACCTGTCCCAAACAATAAACGCAACCCCTAAAAAACTGCCTAGCGAGGAGGGCATCTGGCCTTGAGTTCTTCTGTCCTCCACCAAGGACAAACTCTTCATCAACACCCAGACAACACCAACACATGCGCTCTCATACAAATTCAGTTATCATCCAGTTTCTGTGGTATTATATATGCAATCATCTACAAGTGGGTGGTAATTTTTTTATTATTTAATTACAATTTCAAGCTTTATGGGTTTACTACACAGCACTTACTCCTCAAGCAAAAAACTGACAAAATCTTAATTAAAAAAGATAAATGAGAATGGCATATGCCATTAAGCAATTAGATTTTCTACATCCGCATTGGTATTTCTGTTGTTCTTCCACTCATACTCAAAACTGACTCAATTAGCTGCAAAACAATGACAAAATCTTACTTAAAAAAGATAAATGAGAATGGCATACGTCATTAGGCAATTAGATTTTCTATATCCGCATTGGTAATTCAGTTGTTCTTCCACTTCTACTCAAAATCGACCCAATTAGGCTTCACTTTCAAACCTATATTGCAGATGCCTACATGTCCAAAATTATGCATGTTAAATAAACAAGATGAATTTGCAGTTTTAAATGTTTTATCCATGAAATGAAGCACGCGTGCTCAATAAATGGCATTTCACAACATTTCTCACCCAAAATCATCCAACAGTCCTAATGAGTTTTATGATGAGGATAAAAGTTCTGAAACTACAGCTCTGATATTTGCACACAGGAGTCTTGATATTATTGGTATAAAGATGGTGTTATCTTTAACTTTCAAAATTTCATCCAACTGTATTCCTGAGTTTCAGTTCAGGGCATTCAGACCACATCCCCCAATGTGAACATTGTCTATGGTATATATATGACAGGGGTGGATCCAGAATTATTTCGGGGGGGGGGGGGGGGGGGGGG